GGCCTCTCCCGGGGCTGCCCGGCTCTGCCCGGGTGGGCTCTGCCAGAGGAGGCATCCCCTGGGCAGGGTGCGAGCGGCGGGGGGGGGCCGGGGGGCCCCTTGCGGGGGGGGGTGGGCACGTGCCTGCTACCCGGGCAGAGACCCCCCAGACCCCCCCTTTGATCTCAGGGACGATCCCGTCCAGGGGCGAGCTCTAAGGTGCCTGTGGCCAGGGTTGGGGGCACGCTGGGTGGAAAAGCCTCCTCGCCTGGACGGATCCAGCTGGTCGCAGCATCTCTCCAGAGCCCTGCCAGGAGAGAGGGGAGGCCGGCAGGAGCAAGGGCTGCAGGGGGGCGAGGGTGGGAAGCACGGGGTGCACGGGGGTCCGACCATGCCCAGGCTGGGTGACCCACCAGCACATCCAGGCACTGGCTCTCCTGGAGCCGGTGTGAGGGTCCTGCTGTAAAACAGGTTTGCAAGATGCCTGTGCTTGTTAATTCTAATGAGCTCCATCCTCCTAGGCCAAAAGGTCCTGGTGAGTGTAAGGAGAGGGTGCAAGATCAGCCTTCTTCTTCTGCCCCAGGCCCTGTGACTGCTCTGCCTGGGGAGGAGTGGGGAAGCCATGGGGGCTCTGCAGGTGCCCGGTCGCAGCCGTCTCGCGTGGTATCTGGGTGCTGCAGGCAGCTGCGAGGCCTGATAGGGCCCTATCAGTGACAGGGCCAGCATGCTGGCGGGTGCAAATGCTCCGGCCCTGGGTGTGGGTGGCTCACTGTGTCCCCAGGGGGAATCCCTCCCAGGCAGCAGGGAGCAGAGACCCGGGGGTGAAGGATGGGAAGACCACGTGGTGCTGGGTGCCTGCGTGGAGCCTGCAGGGGGGTATCCCCAGTCCTCACCTTCTCTCTGCCTTGCAGCGTCTCTGCCCTTCGTCATCCTGACGCTGGTGAACTCCCCATACAAGCGGGGCTTCTACTGCAATGATGACTCCATCCGCTACCCCTACAAGGCAGACACCATCACCCATGGCCTCATGGCTGGGATCACCATCACCTGCACTGTTGCCATTGTAAGGAAGCGCCATCCCCTTCCCGCCGGGGCAGGGACATCCTGGCGTGTTGTATCCAGGAGCTGGGTCCCAGCACAGCCCACCTCGGGTTGAGCCCTGCTCTGCTGGGGGTCAGGAGCTCCCTCTGGCGCAGTGAGGCCCACATCCCATGGGGCTGGTTCCCTGCAGGGAGGGGGAGAAGCCACATGAGCTCCTGCGGGGCCTCCTCTGCCACAGACCCAAGAGCCAGAGCATCCCGTACCCCTGGTGCTGGGGAGCTGCTCGGTAGCCCTAAGATGCTCACCGCTTGCCCCTTGGTCTCTGCAGATCTCATCAGGGGAGGCGTACCTGGTCTACACAGAGCGCCTCTACTCCAAGTCAGAGTTCAACAACTACCTGGCCGCCCTCTACAAGGTGGTGGGGACCTTCCTCTTTGGAGGGGCCATCAGCCAGTCCCTGACAGACCTGGCCAAATATATGATCGGCCGTCTCCGGCCGAACTTCCTGGCCGTCTGCAATCCTGACTGGTCCAAGGTGAACTGCTCCATCTATGTGCAGCTGGAGAATGTCTGCCAGGGGGAGAGCAAAAACGTCACCGAGTCCAGGTGAGCTGTGGGGCTACAGGATGTGTCCCCTCCACCTGCCCGGCGATGCTGGGTTCTGCAGTCTGGTGACAGCCCCAGACCGGTATCGATGTTCTCCTGCTGCAGGGCAGAGCTCACAGAGCGGGCGGGGGCTTGCTGGGGGCCAGTAGGGCACTGGGGGCTTGCTCTCATGGCCTGCCCCATCCCGTTTGCACCACAGGCTGTCCTTCTATTCTGGCCACTCCTCCTTTGGGATGTACTGCATGATGTTCCTGGCGGTAAGTGCTGTGCTGTGGGAAGGCAGCGAGCCCCTGTGGGTCCTGTCCCCCTAGGCGGACCGGTGCCCCAAGCACCCCGTCTTCAGGCCAGTCGGTGTCACCTGCGCTGGGTGATTGCTCCCCCCCTTCCTGCCCAGCTCTACGTGCAAGCCCGGCTGGTGGGGAAGTGGGCCCGGCTGCTGCGCCCCACCATCCAATTCTTCCTCATCACCTTCGCCATCTACGTGGGCTACACCAGGGTGTCCGACTACAAGCACCACTGGAGCGATGTGCTGGCGGGGCTGCTCCAAGGGGCTCTCATTGCCATCCTCATCGTGAGTGTCCCCTGCGTGACTCGAGGCTCTGCTGGTTTGCTGCTGGCATCAGCTCAGCCTGCCGGAGGGGTCCCCAAACCCTCTTTCCTGTGGGTCTGTTCCAGGTCCGCTATGTCTCTGACTTCTTCAAGCACCGTCCCCCACGGCAGCGTGATGAGAAGGACCCGGAGCACAAGCCCAGCCTGCCACTCGCCATGAGCGACCCTGACCGCAATCACTACAGCTACCGCGGTGCCCCGTGAGCTGCGTGCGGGCCGCTCGCGCCAGACTGCAGACCTGCCCCTCGCCGTGCTCCGCACCACCCCTGGCACAAGGGACGGGGACACCGGCTCTCTATTAATCGTTGGCTCCACGGCTCCGGTGCCTCTTGCTGCTGCAGGTACCTATGGGACAGCCCTGCCCATCCTTGCTCCTGCAGCTCCTGGCCCCCCGTGCCTGCGGTGCCCCCCGTGCTTGCTGGTGCCTGGCGATCCCAGTGCCCTGCCCATGGGAAGGGGAGGTCCTCGGTCCCCTGTGCATCTGAGTCAGGCTCCCAGGCTGCCATCCCAGCCCTCTGGGTGAGGGGAGGGTGGATTTATCGGGCTGGCAAACCGCACTGAGTGAAGAGCAAACTCGTTGGGAAGTCTGAGGTGTCCTGTGCTGAGTGTGTGTTATCCCTGTCAAATTATCCGGCCTTATGAGTACAAATCCTCACAAGCACAGGGGGAGGAGGACAGCTGCTGGGCTAGCAATACTTTTTTGGAAAGGATTAAAGCAATCCAGAGCTCTTCTCTGTTCCCTGATTACTTTTAAAAGCAGTCCTGGCTGCCAGCAGCTGGTGTGAGCGAAGGGTGCGTAGGCAGGCTTTCCTCCCGTGGTGCCTGATGCTGCAGTGCTGGAAGCAAGGGCTTGCACCCTGCCTGCTTCACGCCTGGCTTGGGGCGAGGGGGATGCTCGAGCCTTGGTCTCTCCTGCAGCTTCAGCTGATGCTTTAGGGGATGCGGGGGGGGAGGGGAGCGGGAAGGGGAGAAGCTTTCTGTGGTAAAGGTAAATAAATGGGGATGTGGAGCTGGACACGGGGCTCCAGTAGCCCTGGGAAGGTGGGGA